CGCAGCTGTGGGAAGTCCCTCCCCAACACCCACACCAAGACGCAGAAGCACAATGAGGAGGGCATTGGGGACATCTACATTTGGGGCCGGAACATCTTCATGGGGTATCTCAATGATGAGGAGAATACGCAGGAGAAGATCGATGCCCACGGCTGGTTGCACACGGGGGACCTGGGCTTTTTGGACACCGATGAATTCCTCTATGTCGTCGGCAACGCCAGAGGTGAGCAAGACAAGGCTGCAAGGTGCTCTCTGCCTCTGACCGGGCCCCACAGGGCTGCTGTGGACAGTGGTGCGGGTTGCACACAGCACGATGATGAGGGGGAGGACTAGAGTCCAGCGTGGAGGAAGGGACACCCCCTGTATGCCTGGGCTCCATCTCCGTCATTTCTGAACGTCAAGGGGTGGCCGTGGGCTCCAGGAGAGCTGACTTGATGCGGCTTTTCAGGACCACAGCCCTGCTCCCTCTCCGCATGCAGATATCATCACCCTCAGTTCAGGTGAGAGGATCAACCCGAACCCCATTGAGGAGCGGGTGAAGAGGTACATCCCCATCGTGCGCTACGTCGTGCTGGTGGGCCAGGACGCGCCATACCTGTGTGCCCTGCTCACGCTGAAGGTACCGCGTGCCTGTGTTTTTGAGCCTCGTGGGATCCGGCTGTTGGCTGGACGGAGCCTGCTGTCCTGGTTTCAAGATGGGGAAACTGAGGCTGGGAGAGACGAGGCAATGGGCCGGTCACTCGGTGCCAAGCCTGGGGTACCCTGGCCAGGCCCCATGGGGGAGAAGCTCCTGGCCCGTTTCCAGAGAAAGGGCAGCTGGGCCTGAGCCGGCCCGCCCCCCACCAGCCCCTAGGAAGCAGGGACGTGTGGGGCAAGTCTCCCCAAGCCAAGCCTGTTTCCTCATTTGCACCACGGGGATGGGGACCGGCTTTCCGAGGGCCGAGAAGAGAGTGACGGGTTACCCAGGAGGGCGAGCCCCCCGCCTGGGGAGCTGGGCTTGGGGGCCGGTGTGGGCGTGGGGGGCAGCTTGGGAGCCGCCTGACCCCCTGCCCCCGAACAACAGTGCCAGATTAACACGGACACAGGGGAGCCCCGGAATGCGCTGACCAGCGAGGCGGTTGCTTTCTGTAGACAGCTCCGGAGCCAGTCCACCAGGCTGTCGGACATCGTTTACGACGGAGACCCGGTGGTCTTGGAGTTCATCAGTCAGGGCATCGACGCTGCCAACGCTGAGGTCCCCTCGGACAGCGCCAAGATCATCAAGTGGACCATCCTCAGGACGGACTTCTCCATGGTTGGAGGGGAGCTGGGTGAGCAGGCGGGCGCTCACCCCCCCCCCAGCCCCCCGCGTGCTCGTTAAAGCACCACCATTTCCTGGACCGGGATCCCCGCGGCATCTGCGGTTTTCACCAGCCGCTCCAAGGACTCTGGCAGGGAGTGAAGGGGGCCGTCCTCCACGGAGGTCCTCGTGCAGGACGGACATTCTCAGGGCACTTTGGGATGGGCCTATTGTAGCTCTCCTCCCTGGGCCCCACAATCGGAGCCGCCCACTGTTCCGACCCCAGCCGCCCCCCGTTCCGACCCCAGCCACCCCCCTGCACCCTCAGGACAGATCATCTGGCCCCCTAACATCTCATCCTGCGGTGAGGGAGGCTCCTGCGGGGGCAGTTGGTGGTGGCGGTGGCGGGGGAGGCCCCGCCTTGCACGTGATTCTGTTACAGGGGCAACCACCAAACTGAAGAGGGCCATGGTGGCCAGGATGTACCAAGCTGAAATTGAAAGGCTTTATGAGGAGGAGGATGACGAATACTAGCAGCCAGGAAAGGCCCTGGGGGGTGGGGGCCTTCCTGCTTCATCACCAGACTGCGATCTCCCTCCTTCCATCCCCCTATCGGATGATCATCGAGGAGCTGCCTTCTAGAAGGAGGGAAGCTGCTCTGAGTGCCAAGTTGCCAAGTGCCGACCGGGGACGGGGTTTTAACTAAGATGCCCCCTCTGGGGCGGTGTTTTACATTTAAAGGTAAAAGATAATAAAATTGGTTTCACTAAAGCAGTGGTTCTTACCCAGGGTGGTCCTGCGCCCCCAGGACACACGTGGCAATATCTGGGGACATTTTTTGGTTGTCCCCACTGGGCAGGCGGGTGCTAGTGACACGTGGCGGGTGGAGGCCAGGGAGCTTCCTGGAGAGGTGCCTGGCCACAGAGTGTCGGTCGTGCTGAGGCCGGGAGGCCAGTGAGGAGTTTCCTACTGAAGGCTCTGGAAAAGTCGAAACCAGATGTGATAAACCTCATAGGTTTCTTCACTTTGAAAACTATACACACTCTTAGCGTGACAAAGGTGAGGGGCGGCTGCACAGGCTCCCCACCCTCTGGAGAGACGGTGCAGGAACGGCCCCCCCCCCCCCCCCCCGCTGTCTGCAGCCACCCGGAGGGAATGGCCGCCAGGATTCTCTGGGGACCCACCCAGCGCCAGCAAGGACACATCTTTTTGGAAAATAAAAATTTCCAAAACCAAAATGTTAACAGGAAACTTCAGGACGACGAGATAAAGAAAACGTTCTAGAACTCCGGCTGACCAGGTTAGGTCGGAAAGCAAACATGCAGGCGTATCTGGGGGGAAGTTCTAAGTAGGGAACAATAATGAAGGGGGACTAGTCCTACTAGTAATAAAGAAATGACAAAGCCGCGGTAATGAAAAGCTCAGTGATGGGGCGTAAATAATAGATGTGCAGAGGAGAGGAGCCCTGCACACAGACAAGGATGCAGGATCGGAGGGGCCTTTCAGGTAAGCGGAGGCAGCACGGGTTAGCCCATGGCCGTGACGGTGGCTACTGCGGAAACAAGAGGCCCTGGCTCCCGGCAGGATGAACTCCGGACGGAGCAAAACCGAGAGGTGAGAAAGCAAGCAAGCGAGGGAAGGAAAGTGGGGGACAGCGTTACACTGCTGGAAGCCGCCTTGAGAGAACTTGCAAACCTTGTATCATCCTCGACCAGGAATAAGCACCCGGCAGCCACCGAGGGAGAAGCTGGATGAAGACATAAGGCTTCCGCGTGGTGAGGGACGCCGACCGTGCCCAGCACGGAAAGGCAAGTAGGGTGTAGAACGTACAAGAGCCACATCTCATGCTCCACGGGGAGATCCGAGAAACACACGCGCGTGTGCACAGGCAGGCCGACGCCGAGGAGCCCCAGCCCAAGACAGGGGCGGGCGGGCCCGCGCTGGTGCCCCCGGAGACCCGGTCGCACCCCTGCACGCGTGCAGGGAGAGGACCAGGGGAAAACGGTCCCCAGCCTGCCCGCAGGACTAGTGGTGTGAGTTAAGGTGCACTTAACGCAGCATAAGGACTTGGACTGAGTTCTCAGACACGTTGAGGAAAAGGTGTGCAGGGGCGCCACCATTTGTGAGGGAGCGCTTGTCGTGGTCGTGAGCAGGTGATGGCTCCCGAGGGACGCGTAAGAAAGTGGACACGGAAAAGAAGCAGGAACGGGGATCACGTGCCCTTGGAACCTGCAGGCTCATCTTGAGCCCATCTTGAGCCTGCACCATGAAAATACAAATTTGAAATACAAGATTTGGAAATATTCAAGGCAAACGCGTTTGAAAGGGACAGAGTCGTCCTATTGATGAAACAAACAAATCACCAAAACTAACTTATGCGACTGCTTTCAACTAAAAGACAAAAAGGAAATTTTAAAGGCACCAGAGACCAAAGCCTCCAAGAGGCAAGAGACTGGAGGGCTGACTTCTCCCCAGAAACGGCGGGAGGCAGCAGGCCACGGAGCCACGGCAGAGCGTGGAGGAACGCAGCTGCCCACCCACAGCTCGGCTCCCAGTGGAAGCGCCCTTACGCCCGAAGGATGACACAGAGACATTTTTTTTTTTTTTTTTTTTTCAGGAACAGAATTCCCTGCTGCTAATGAAAATTCCTCAGGCTGAAGGCCAGGGATCCCAGGTGGACCGGCGGGGAGGAGGAGGGCGCCACCAGGGGCAAACATTCGTAAGCAACTGCGGGAGCACGTGCCCGGGCTTGAGCCTCAGAAATGTGCCTACGTGCCGCCCCACAGGCAGGCGACTCTCCCGGGCCGCTCCGCCTGCCCTGCGGGGCCTCTGGCGGCAGCACCCTCGCCGTCCGGGGCTTGGGAAGAGGCCGCGGGACGCTCCTTCGCCCTGCTGCATCCTCAGCCCCCGGGGAGTCAGTCTTCACTGCGTGGTGGGGCTCTGCGAACCCCGCGAAGCCTGCTGGACCCTCTCTCTCTCTGCCCCTCCTCCAGGAACTCCGATCACAAACTGCCCCAGAGGACTTGCAGAATCTTTCCCTGGTAGGAAAGACAGGGCAGGGGCGCCTTGATGTTGGAAGTGGGAATTTTGCCTAGGCCGAGAAGAAAGGCACGGGCCCAGGGTGGCCAGCCGGCTCCCTTGCGGCGGCTGCGGGCAGAGTGGCCGGGCCCCAGCCTGCGGCGCGGGACCCTCGCCTGCAATGGAACCCTCGCAGGGTGGGCAGGGCTGCCTACACGGGGCCGGCGATGGACTCGGCCTCGGCCTCCCGGAGTCCACAGCTGAGCCCACCATGGACAAACCAGCAGGCGGGCCACCCAGCTCTCAGCAAAGGAAGCCTTTCACCACCCTTTTTCTACGGATCTTGCCCTCTATCAACCTCCCATGCCCCAGCCCCCTCCCCTCCCCTCCCCTCCCGACCCATCCCCCCACACCCCTGCCCTCCTACCCACCCCTTCTCCCATCTTGTGAAGTCAGGCTTGTTTTTCAACCCCAACCTTGCCGCCTGCTTCCAAGGAAAGAACACACCATCAAAAACAGGACCTGCGATCACATTTTCCAGCATTGCTCCTCTCTTGGATTTCCGGTGGTGCCGTCTGTGCTCCCCCAGGATGCCAGCCCTGCTCACGCTCCCCCGTCCGCACCCGCCCCGCCCAGGCTTGACGCCCACCCCCCCTTCCCGGCTGTCCCAGGAGGAGCCAAGCAGGGGCTCTACACACAGATCTGCTTTCCCATCTGACTTTATTTCACTTTTTTTTTTCTATAAAACTCCTCCATAATTTCACAATTTAACAAAAAGTTTAAAATCCAGGACAGAAACAATCCTGTAACTTATTACAAACACAATTCTCCTTTATTCCTTTTATCCAGGAGTTGGTCTCGGGCCGATGAGTGTCCTAGTTCCTAGTCGAGACACATTTTTTGTAAAAACCCTTATGGGTAAAAAAGGTATTCGATACCTTTTGCTTTCAGGTGTCGGTTTACATTTTGTTCAGGAGATAGCAAAACACAGGGATTTGCACTGGGGGCAGGGGGCTTAACACTAAACACGCGGCAATCACAAAGTGCTGGCCCCTTCCTGTGGAGGCGTCCCCAGAGCCCCTGTGGGCCCAGCCGCCGGGCAGCTGGGGGGAGGGCGGGGGAGCAGCTGGCAATGCTGCGGTCAGGGCCCTGGTTGCCTGGCGCGTCCATCAGGTGATCAGGGGGCCAGCACTGGGGCCTTCTGGCCAGAGGAGGTAACTGAGAAATGGGTTGGTGCTTCCGAAGGCCCCAGAAACAGCAGGAGGGGCCACTCTTGCCACTGAGGGTGGGCCAAACCCTGGCCTTCCTCCAGCTGCTTCCCGGGCACGGCCCGGCTCCAGAGCTGAGCGCTGCCCAAGTCACCATGTGGAGCTCGGGAGGGCCTATGGCCCTTCCCAGGAGATGCCCCCAAAGGGGAAAGGCCAGCTCAGGCTCCTGGCGTGGCCCCCAGCAGCCTCTGTGCACAGAGGGCTGGGCAGCGGCCGCGTAGCCCACATCAGGCCAGTTCCTTCTGTCCAATGTCTTAGAGTTTCCAGAGAAGAAAGGTGCCCCACTTTGGAGTATTGTTGGCCTGCCTGGGGAAGGGGACGGTGACGGCACGGAGCCTGCCACACAGGCCTGCCCTCTTCCTAATACCTCAAGGTAGTGGGGTCAGGAGAGAATCAGAGCAGATGGCGAGGAGTCATGGCGGTTTCCTCTGAAAAGTTCTCAGGCCTTCCCAGCGAGTTCTGGGGATTTCACCAGGGAGGCTGAAGTCTGGGGGAGTCTTGGAGGCAGAGCTCCCCCGGGAGTGTTTAGGGTCTGCCTGACAGACGAACCACAGGGAAGGGGAGCTTGGCACTCCCCGCATCGGACCTCGGGAACGGGGGGGCGGAGAGACCCTCTGGCAGTGGACTGGGGGGAGAGGGGGAGCCCACCTCCGGGCCCCACCCCGGTCCTTTGCCCCACATCTCATTCAGGGCAAAAGTTGGGGCGGGGAGGCCAGGGGGAGCCTCGAGTCGAGGTCTGGGCGAATGGAGGCTGAGCAAGCAGGGCCCCAGCCCCCAGGAGCCCCACCCGAGGTGGGCCGGCGCCACGAGGACATCCTGGCTAAGAGGAAGAGCCGGCTCGGCCCTTGGAGAGTCTCAGGCATGCGAGGAGCTGGGTCTCTGGACTGGCGTGACTCGCAGGGTGGGAGGGCCGGGCCCAAATCAGAGACACGTGAGCCCAGAAGGGCCTGCCTCTGGCTGGGCCCTGGCCTGAGGGGCTGGCTCTGAGTCCTGATGCTCCTCAAAAAACTCCACAAACTATCCCGTCTTATTTGGCAAAAGCTCATTTTTTTTCAAAGTTCGAAGACTCCAACGACAGAGGGGGGAAGAGGGTCCTACGGAAGGAGGAAGAGAACGAGCCGTGGGGCGGCGGGGGGGGGGGGGGGGGACGACACACATCAGGGCCTGCGGCTGGTGGAGGCCCGGGGGTCGGCTCCTGGAGGTGGCCGCCAGTCTGACCAGGCGCCAAGCGCGCGGAGCCCCCCAGGCGCCCGCGGACCTGCTGCCCCATCGTAGTGTTCGCTGGCCCTGGGCGGGGCCCTCTGCGCCCCGGGAGGACGAGACATCCTGGGAACCGCGGAGGGGCGACTCCTCCCCTCGCCTGGAGAGGGGCCGGCGCTGCTCCGGCTCGGCCTCCAGCCCCACGACCAGACCAGTGGAAACATCTTAACCTACAAGTCCCGCCTTACGCACCCCCCACCCCCCACGTGCACTGCTGCCACGGGAACGCACCCCCGGAAGCCGCTCTGGTACCTACAGTGCATACACACGTACACTAGAGAGAACTATACAGACGGAGGCCCAGCACAGTGAGAGCCCGCGGAGGGGCTGTGGCCCTCTGTGGTCCTGGGGCACGGGGGGGGGGGGGGGGGGGGGCGGGCTGTGAACCGTTTGGGAAGGCCGGAGGCAGTGTCCTGGCTGCTCAGAGAGGCCCAGGCAGTGAAACCAGGCCCCCGCTGCCGGCCACCTTTCCTCCCCTTCTGAAGTGAGGCCTGGTGCTGCCTTCAACACCAGCTGCTTTCCAAGGGGGGCCCAGGGGACGGCCCCTGAGTATTGGGGAGCAGTGGCGCTGGCCTGCCCCCCCCTCCCCTCAGCCTCAGGGCTCCCGCTAAGGTGGTGGGGAGGGTGGGCCGGGAGCCGGCGAGGAAAGTGCAGCTGGCCGTGCGGGCCGAGGACAGGGCGGTCACTAAGGCAGTGCTGCGGGCAGGTGAGTCGAGAGAGAAGGAGGGAGGCGGGGCCCGGATGTGGCCTCCTGGGGCCCCAGCGAAGTGGGCCCGGCACCCGGCCCAGGGTCATGTGGCCACGGCCTCCAGGTAGCTCTGCAGCTTACGCACGGTGGTCTCGTCCAGGGAGAAGAGATCGAAGTCGAAGGTGGTGTTGGTGACATTGAAATGGCCGGTCTCCTCAATCAGGTTGACGATCTAGAAGGTGGTAGCAGGTGGCTTCAGGGAACAGGAGGCTGGTCTGGGGTGGCCCTCACCCCAGCAGGCTCTGAGGGGGAGGGGAGGAGGGAGGAAGAGGGGGAAGGAGGGCTCCTTGGAGATGCATGCCTGGGGGCACCCCCTGCCTGGACCGTACCTGTTGCAGCACGTTGCGCTCCCGCAGGGCCATCAGCCTCCGGTGCAGCTCTACCAGCTCATCCGTGTAGGCCTGGGGGTGGGGGGGGGGGGGGGAGGCAAGTGCTCAGCGGGTGGCCTCAGCCCCTCCCAACTGCTCAACCTCACCCTGTCCGTGGGCCCACCCATCTTGGCTCAGGGCCCTGGAAAGAAGGAAGGCCGGACGCTCGCCTGGGCTAGGCTGGGACGGGGCACCCGCTGGGAGGAGCGTGTCCAGCTCTGGGATCCCCCGGGCCACCCCACCTGCCCGGTCCAAGCCCACCACCTTGTCGTAGGTGCCCCTCTTGAGGATCTTCTCGGGCTTGCTGCAGGGCTCCGGGCTCCTCCGGCCTGATGCCTGCAGGGCAAATGGGGTCGGCTCTGAGCTCCCGCCTTCCTCCCCTCCCCCTGCCCGCAGGAGGCCCTCCCACCTCCCCAGGGCCACTGCCCAGAGCTCTGGCACCCGCCTGCTCCGAGGGCGGCCCATCCTGGCCAGCAGCTATCTGTCTGGGGCCTGGGGGCACCAAGCCCCTCTCAGCCCCCACCCTCAGCCTCAAACCCCTGGAGAACTACAGCCCAGGACCAGGCCAAAGCCCATCCCTCAACCCTGCGTCCAGGACATGATCACCCAAGAGGCCCCCCCCTCCCCTCCTCCTCCTGAGCGGGGAGGCCTCCCCACCCCCGCCCCTGCATACCTTGCTGTTGGGCGGGGGTGGTTTCTTGGAGGGAGGGGGCTCCCGGCTGGGCAGGCAGGAGTCGGCGCTGTTGTCACTCTCACTGTCACTGAAGCTCAACCTGAACACGGGACACGGCACCATGTCAGGCCTCAGCCGTCCGCCGTCCCGGGGACCTGTGCGCTTGGCTCCTGCCCCGCGGGCCACGCGTACGCCCAACATTCTGGGTTCTGCGCTCCCCCAGGCCCCAGGAGACCAACCTCCCTCAGTTCTAGGCAGCTCTGCGTTCACAGCTCGGAGCCCCAGGCAGCAGGCCAGCACCCTGGGAGGCGTGGGGGGGCCCCCGGTGCAGGGCTCCTGGGCCGGAACACAACCCAGCGGGCGCTCTGCCGATCTCGCTCCTGGGCTCGGCTGTGCGGCTGGTAGCAGAGCAGGTGGAGCTGCCGCGCTCTACAGCAGGCTTCCCTCTGGGGCAGGGGGCGCCCTGACCCGCCGACAAGCGTGCAGGCTGTCTCAGAGGGAAGGGCACGGCGACTCAGGCTTCAGAGTGGCCAACACGTGAACCTAGAGCCACGTCTCTCCCTCCTCTCTGCACAGAACACGCAGGCCGCTGCCTTTAGCACTCTCCGCTCTCTCAAGGCCCAGCAAACAGGTGTGGAAGAAGCCCACCCGCGGGCCAGCCACACACAGCACCCCTGGGCAGAGAGTCTCTGTCCAGGACCCCCAGGCCCTTGGGCTTGACCTAGTCAGGAGCAGCCCCCACCGCTGTGGCGTACAACACATCTACTGCGCTGTCGGTCCGCCGGCCCCTCTCTCCTCCGGCCTGAAACAGGCCGTGCCACAGAATCAGTGCGAGAAGTACCAGGACACGCGGTGGCCAGCAGCTCAGCCCCGGGCGCTCTGGTCTCACTCCCCTGGGATCCGTGCTGTCCTGCCCTCAGGGGGGGTTTCTCCCACAAGCAGCACCTGCCCCCAGGGCCCTGCTGTCTTCGGGGCCCAGAAGTTGCTCTCTCCCCACCTCCCACAGCTGCGGGTCACCAGGGGGGACAGGCAGGCGGGCGGTCTCCTTGCTGCCCAGGGAGCACATGGCGTCAGCCAGACCCCGGCGCGGCCCCGGAGACCAGCGCACCCTTCCCTTCCCCCGCGTCTGCGGGCCCACCAGGCAGCCACTCCCCACAAAGCAGACAGGACAAGGTGGGCTTCTGCCAGCTCCTCCCAAGCAGCCATGGGGCCAGCATGGCCCCTTTCCTGGTGCCCCAGGAAGCCCCACCTTCCACATCTGCCCCTGGAAAAGGTCACTAAAGGCGCTTACGCACATCTGGTCCCCAGGCTGCTCGGGGAGCCCCTCAGGAACGGGAGCCCCATGTGTGAGTGCTCCCAGCTCCCCACTCCCAGTGCACATCACACCCCACACTGCACACCGAAAGCATCGCACCCGGCGGAGCAGGGGACACTGCCGTCTGTCACTTCCGCCCTTACCGGGAGCGTGCTGGCAAATGCAAGAGCCACCGAAAGCCTCTCTCAGGACAGCGAGGTAACCACCACGACTAACACGGCCCCACCGCAAACACCTGTTAGGCCTTCCCAAGCCTGGGGGTGCAGACCCAGTGCCCAGCCTCTCCTAAAGCGGAGCTGCTGAGGTCCCAAGGTCTTGGCCTCATAGGGAGGAGGAGCACTGTCAAGACAGGGCCACCGACTCCGGGGTCTGCCTGATCTGCCGGCCTGGCACCGAGGCCGACTTCTGCTCTGGGCTGGAGGCTGACCACACACAGCCATCCTCGAGGTGGGCTCACTCCAAGGGTCTGGGGTACCCAAACAAGGAGCTTCAGCTCACCCTGCTCTGAGGAAAGGACAGACGTCACCTTCCCCAGGCCGGTGGGCAGCCACAGCAGCTCCCCATGCTGGGGTGTCTGCGGGTCCCAGGAGAGCTTTCAGTCCGTCCTCACCCTATGCCACCCATAGTGGGGGAGGGGAAAGCGGCCCCCTGGCCCCAAAGCAGAGGAACAAGCCCTCCTCCTCGCCCCCCCGGCCCCCATATACCCTGGACCAGGGCTGGCCCCGGGGCTGCCGGGCCCTGCTTCACTCGTTTCTCCGATGGTGACTGCACTTCCCAGCCGGCCGGCCGGCCGCCAAGAGCGCCTCGGCTTCATGAAGCTGAGAGCACGCAGCCCCCAGGTGCGCCTGGGCTGTTCCATCGACATTCCCCTCCTGGCCCGGCCTCCCCGAAGCCCCCCAACCACAGCAGAGGCAGGTAGAGCCACCCCGGAGCGGCTCCCACGCCCGCCCAGCTCGCATCCCACCGGCCCAGGCACCTGGAATCCCTCCCAGCATTCGTCTTGCCAGAGGCCTCCTCGCCTGATGAAGAGTCGTCCTCATCGGACTCCTCAGACTGCAGGTCCTCCACCATGGAGCGCAGGGGTCCTGGAGAGGGCAGCGAGGGAGGGGGGAGGGGAGAGAAGGAAGATCAGGGCTCTGCCTGGACCCTACAGATCCCCCTGCACACCCAGGGCCACATGGAGCTTCCTGAAACCATCACCCCAAAAACACAGCCATGCAAACCTGCCTCGGAGGTCCCTCCGGCCAGGGTGAGGTCTGCCACCCGCCTCTAAGAAATGCCCCCGCGGTCACCCGCTTCCTGAGGGACCCCCCTGGCTCCCCCGCCCCCTACCTTCCTGGCCCTGCGCACAGGCCTCTGGCCCCTGGCCCTGCTCGCAGGCCTCTGGCCCCTGGCCTGCTGCAGGACTGCAGGGCCCCTCCATTGCCCGGGCCGGTGGGGCAGCCCTCCTCTGCTCTGGGTGCAGGGAGCACAGCCTCTGCCTGGAGCCACGGCAAGCCAGCCCTGGCCAGGGAGGGCGAGGCAGCTAGACCTGGGGGCTACAGAACCCTCCCAGGCAGCCTGCGCCCCTACTCCGGCCTGCCCAGCCCCTCAGCAACCCCCTCCGCTGCTCTGGGCCAACTGTCCTCTCCTCTCTCCAGAGGCTCGCGGTTCCAGTCCCCTACAGACGGCATCTTGGTTTATATTCCTGTTACCAAGGCAACAGAGGGACACAAAGCCCTCAATTACCTTGGTCACGTGATCCTGCTTGGGCAGGTCCCCCCTCCCTTCCCCGTAGATAAGAACCCTTGGAGAGCGTGCGGGCTCTGAGCCTCCCATCCCCCATTCCCCTCAGCGACTGCTGTCTGAATTCCAGGCCAGACCCTCCCCCCACCCCCCTGCACATGCTCCAGTCCCCAGCGCTCCCCAACCCTTCAAACGAGATTCTAGGCTGTGGGGGCAGGACAATCTTGTCCCAAACCACCAGAAGAGATGCTTCCGGTTTGCTGCCCCCTCACATCAGCACCCTGCGGGCCGGGGCCCCCAGGCCCATCTGCACCTGAGGAAGGCCCTCCCTGCTCTGGGGCAGCCAAGTGGGCCTTCTGCCTTCTCTCCCCTCCAACCTCCCCAACAGGGATGCAGGGAAAAGACAGAACTGCAGACTGCGGGGCTCTGAGCCTGAGAGCCAGGCAAACATGCAGCCAGAGCAGAGCATTTCCTGCCCCATCCCACGAGAGCTATGCTGGGGTGGCGGGGAGGACGGGTACGGGGTTGGTGGGGAAGGGGGTGAGGATGGGGGTGAGGACTAGGGCAGGGGTGAGGCGAGGGGGGGGGCAGGCGGAGGAAATGAAGCCTCTATCTGCCGGGGGCAGGGGCGGGGGCGCCGGCAAGGAGGGTGTCCACTCAGGAGTTGGGCCCAAAGAAGAAAGGGGCCCCTCTCCAGAGCCCCAGAGGCGCAGACAGGCACAGCTGGGGGCCCAGGGCACTGACACCAAAGGTGAAAAAGCCCCAGAGAGAGCAGCACTTTGCACACCGGCTGCTGGTCGGGCGACCTGCTTCTGTCTCGCCCTTTAGTACGCGCTCCCTGAGCCTCCACCGACCTCTGGACGCGCATCTCCGGGGGCCTGGTCTGGGAATTCCAGGGCCGGGCTCCCCGACTCTTCCTGTCATCCAGGGCCTTCCCCATCACCCGCCCCAGGTTAGCTGTCCGTGAACTTTTATAAAAGACAGCAGCAGCAGCGTTCAGCCTCGGGGTGTGCGGACGCTCAGGCAGGGAGTGAGCCCCCATGCAGGTCAATCATGTGGAGAAAACCGTCAGGACGCCCTTTGGTTGGAGCCCAGACCCCCCTGCCTCACTGGCTCCAGGCAGCCAGGGGCTGCCGGTGCACAAGAACACTCCCGGTGCGCCGAGGCCCCGTCCCCTTCCCCCCTCCCCCGCTCTGCACCACGCACCTTGACTGTGGTTCTGGGAAGGCTCGAAGTCCGAATCTGAACTGGAGTCAGAGCTGGAGCTGGAGTTGGATGGGCTTGACTGGGCAGACTTCAGCCCGGGGCAGTGCGGATGGGCAGGGCAGGGGGAAGGAAAACGAGAACACTCTCTCAGTCCCGAGGGAAGGAGCGGGCAGTACATGCCCTCTGGCCGCAGGAACACCTGGTCGGTCTCCACCCAGATCCCGGTGCAAAGGGTCACAAAGGCACCAGACCCCAGCACCCCTGGCCTAAGGCTCGCACAAGCTCTGGGTCCCCATTCAAAATGCAACGAAGGGACTTGAAATTCCTAGCAGTTCCAGGACAAGCTGCAGACTACATGTCCAGTCCGTCCGACCTCCTGGGCAGGACAGCGCCTCTGCGGCTGCTCATCTGCTTATGGGTCCTGCCCTCCTCTGGTGACGGCATGCATCGGCTGGTGTGGGCAGTGGTGCTGTAGGGAACAGCTGAAGGGTCTGGACAGGAAAGGTGGGTGCAGAGACCCAGCTTCTCGTCCTGCCCCTCGTTTCTTCACAGCCCATCCCGAGGCTGAGGGACGACCCAAAGCTGTCTTCCTGCCATGTGCTATCACCCACCGGGTGCCTGAGGTCATGATGAGCATGTGTGCACATGACAGGCAGGTGAGGACACGGTGGGCTGGAGCCTGGCCTGTCATGCCACAGCCAGTCACAGCCCCTCCTCCTTCCTCTTCCTGCAGCTAGCCACCCCAAACTCAGCCACCAGGGGGCAGTAAAAGCCAAAATAGAAGACGAGACCATGGGATGGGGGGAGGAGGGTGGTTAAGATACCTGGGGGTTGCACCTGCCACAGGGGGACACACGCACGTGGCAGGGGCCTCTGGCAGAACAGAGGTGGCATCTGTTCCTGAGCCCTTGGTTTCTGCCAATAAGCTACTCCAAAGGGGCAGCACAGTAAGCCGTGGGCCTGGGGCACAGGCTGCAAAGGGCAGAGGAGCAGAGCCTGCAGCTCAGAAGGTCTGCCTTGGCCCAGAGTGCCCCCAACGTGCAAGGGACTCAGCAAGCCTAATCTCGGGACAGGGCCTGTCCAGCCCTCTCTCGCCTCAGGGGACCCTCTGAAGGGACTGACAGCTTCAGCACCTGGGACCAGGCACCCCACGCCCACCCCACCGTCACAAGGAGGGAGGGGGCCAGGGGACTGGCAGAGGCACCCCACAGCACCTGCTCAGTCCCAGCAGGTGCCGCATGAGAGAAGACCCCAGGAAAAGAGCCCCTGACCTGCTGTGGGGGACAGGCTAGCCCCTCTAGATGGTCTGTGGACCAAGGGCAGCCCCCAGCCCACGGAAGGGGCCCCAGGAAGGCCCAAGTCCTTCCTCACTCCATAGACCCACAGAGTGATCCAGGCTGCCCAGGGACAGATGCCTGATGAGTTAAAGAAGTTTCTTGTCTACGGGTTATCACAGCCTACCGGAACCACTCCAGGCCTTCCCAATGTACACACCCCTGCTGACGCCCCCTACTTCACCCACCTTCACACTGGCCAGTGATGTTCCCTGGGGAGCCCTCACTGGGAAACCCCGCCTAGACTGCCATCAAACACCGACCACTGAAGAGGTGCCACACAGACCAGTGGGACCCACAACCCCCAACGATGCGCCTAGAGCCCCGTGGGCCCTCTGGCATGCAGATCCTGAAGTTCTTATTCTGGTGCAGGGGTGCTGGGTTCTGACCCTGGCTTTCTCACCAGCACCTCTGGTTTTAAGCCTCAGTTTCCCTATCTATAAAAGAGCGACTCTGCTGGTTTTTGCTAAATGCGTGTCTGTACCAGATGCTAGCACACCGAAGTCGAGGCCAACTGTGCCACCGACCTCGGGGGGGGGGGGGGGCACAAAACTCGGGACAGGACTGGGCCGGGGGCATGGGCGGCAGGGGCCGAGCACTAGGCCAGAGATGGCGGCCGTGCCTGGTCAGGAGACTCAGGTCAGCAGACTCTGGACGTGGGGAGCCCCCCAGGGACCGGCCTGGGCCCTGTGTCAGAACAGGCAAGCACTGGCGTCGTCCCTGACGTGCTTCTCAGGAGGGCTTGAATCCCCCAATCCAAAGGGCGGGGGAAGGGAACCTGGAAGTGGCTTCAGCCCAAAGAGCCTAGAGGAGGTATGGGTCAGAAAGTGCACAGGGCCTCACTGTAAGCGCAGCCAAAGCATCCCGGTGCTCAGGCCACATGGGACATCCAGAAGGAGGGCAGAAGGCCACCTGGACCGTGACCGGATGGGAGCCACTAGCTCAGGAACCCCAGGGGCCAAGGAGACTACAGAAAAGCCACCGGAGCAGCTGGGGAGCTCGGCCCAGGGACTCAGACAAGGAGCCACGCAGCCACCTCTGAGGGCTACGGAGAGAGGCGACTGGGGGTCCGCACACAGGGCTTTCGGATGCTGGTGCCTCATGCAGCCTCCAGCGTTGATGGCCGGGGACGCCTGTGTCTGGAAGGCTATCCCGCCTCCTCCACCACAGATCTCTGCACCTCATTGAGGTCCCAGGGTTGGCAAATGTCCGCAAGTCACCGTCCGGCATCCTGTGGGCGGTTTGGCTCTCACACGTGCATGGACCTCAAGTGGCTAAGCCTTGTCGTTCGGAGGTCTCTCGGGACATGGGAAGTGCTTCTTCAGCCAGGAGAAACCCCCAGGCTTCCTCGAGCAACTCCAGCCCGGGACATAGTGCCCAAGGCCACAGACACCGGACGTCCAGCCAGCCCACGCAGAGCAGCCGCCCCGCCATCCCCACTGTCCCACACAGCCTGCCAGGGGCCCACGATGGCCACACCAGGATGGCAGCGTGGGCACCTGCGGCAGGGCACCATGTGCAGCTCAGGTGGGGCTCCAGGGGAGGGGGCTCCAGAGAGGGGGCCCCACCTCTCCCCGCGTGCAGGTCGGCAGCCTTGTGCACGGAAAGGCCTGGCCTGAAAGCACCTGAGGTGAGGAGGAGGGAAGGGCACCGGCTCAGAGCTGCAGAGGCTGAGCAGACGGAGGAGACAGGGGCCAGAACAGGTGCTATCAGCACCCAAAGAACCTCCAGGTGCTGGGCAAGCTCCTGATACAGCCCGGCGGGCCTGCTAGGAGGCTGAGGCTCCCCCAGAACAGGACCGGAGGTCTCCAAGTTCACGGGCGGACGGAGTCTCCTGGCCGGGAGGAGTGCGGGGTGCACGGCATTGACAGCTCTGTGTGCGCGTCCCTAAGCCAGTGGGGCGCACAGTTACCCTCACAGGCCAAACTGTCACCCCCAGCCCGCGCCGTCGCCTCCAACAGTCTGCCCCTGGAAGCCACACGCTCAGGACACCGGCACTGCAGACACCATCATCCTGGGGCTTCGTCTCTGGGAGCCATTCTCCAAGTCCCAGCAGAACTCTGAGTAGCAACACCGGAGGCAAGGTTTCTGCCGTCCAGAATGAATGAGGATTTGGAAACGCAAGAAGGCACCGGGGGCTGGGACCGGTGACACAGGTGGGGGTCACTCAGCCACCCATCCAGCCAAGCACCTATCCTCTGACCCCCGGATGCCACACGGCACTCAGAGAGGGGGCTGCCACCGGAGGCCCCAGTGACATCTGGCCACTGGCTGCCCGGTGGCTCAGCCGTCTCTAATGGCGGCCTTCAGAACCGCCTGGAAAAGCTGCTGCGGCAGGAGCCCCTCCTGCGCGCACAGAAGCAGGTGGTGGGCGGAGTGAGGAGGCTCCGGTTCCCAGAGCAGAAGAGCGGGACAAAGACACTCGGGGATGCCCCACTAGTGGAGGGAGCGAGTCTCCTGTTGGACTGACCCTGCAGAGGCCAGGGAAGAGGCAGCGGTGACACACAATCACTACCGAGACCCTGGCCCGCACAGGGGGCTGCCCAAGGAAGACAGCTCTGAACCGAGCACCAAACTATCATACTCTACCAAAACCACTTTTCCCTAAGCACTGTCTCCAAAGTTTCCTGACAGAAGCGGAAACTGAGGCTTAAAGAGGTGTGGACGTTTGCCCAAAGCTACAAAGAGCAAGTGGGGACCCCGGATTCCAGCCTCCTCGTCTAACCTTCGGGCTGACAAGGTTTCAAGCAGCTCAGAGCCAGGAAAGAAAGGATGGGGGCGGGGGCGGGGGGGGGGGGGGAGCCACCTCACCTCTGTCTTGAAGGAGGCCTCGTCCTCCGAGTTGGACTCCTCCACCTCTGGGGGCTTCTTGATCTCCCTGGGCTCACTCTCGGTCTTGACCTTCTCCCCTTTGGTGCTGCCCTTGTCCTTGGCTGGCTTTTTGTCCGAGAAGGAGGAAGACGAGGTGCGGGGCGAGGTGCTGGGGGCGCTCCTGGACCCCTTGGAACTGCTCTTCTTCTGCTTTTTGGCGCTGGGCTTGGGGGAGTCGGCGGCAGCCGGCCGCTTGCTGGAAGACTTGGGTGGGGGCGGGGGCGGGGGCCCGCCCTTGGGGGACATGCTCTCCAGCTTGGTCTCCTTCAGGGCCATCTTGGGCTCCTTGAACGCGGCCTTGGCCGGTGGGGCCTTCTCCTCCTTGGGCGGCCGGCCTTCGCCCAGCTTCCGCGCGGCATCCTTGGCACTCCTGGCCTGCTCCCGCTCCGGCTCCTTGGACGGGGCCTTGCCCTCGGAGTCCTTGCGCGGCCGCTCCCGGTGCTCCTTGGCCGTCTTGTGGGTCTTGCAGGCCTTGCTGCTCTCCCTGCTGGCGTCCTGAAATGCCGGGGCGGGAGGGGGAGAGACACGGTCAAGTGGCATCTCGGGGTCGCCCTGCTCCGCCTCCCCCGACCCCTACAAAGTATAATCCACCTGATTCAGACTCAGCTAGAGAAAATCTTCCATAAAGCGAAAAAGTAAGGCAGCAGGTGAGAGTTTTAAATGAAGCTGTCCCTTTAAACTACTAGGAAGTGTCAGCAGGTCCCGGGCGAGTGCAGGCTAAGATTCCCCTCTGAATTGAACTGACATTCCCTGAGGGATTCAAGAAGAGTACACGGTGAGTCAGATACGAGACAGGCAAGCCACATCTACCCACTCCCACTCCAACACCTCGCAGCTTCCCAGTGGCCCAGGGGAGTGGAGGCTGCGTGTGGTGTTGGCGGGGGCGGGGGGCTGGGGGGGCACCAGCAGGCAGGCCCCCCCCCTTCTGTCCCCACACAGAGCCTGCGTGCCTCCTGCCCGGTCACCCCCACCCCAGCCCCAGTGCACACCCAGCACAGTTGTTCTTTGATCACCACAGTCAGCATTTATTGAGCACCTGCTGGGTTCCCAGGCACTGTGCAGAACAGCTCCTAGACCTCTCAGAATCAAAGCCACCTGGGCAGTGTTTCTAAAACACGTATGACTCTTGGGTCTCCACCTTGGAAATTCAGAGGGCTGAGAATGGAGCCCAGACTCTAGCGTTGGTCCACCAGGTCACGGAGCTCCCGCTGGGGACAGGCAGACATGGCCCTGAGCCAGGCTACTAGGGGGCTCCAACCTGCGTGCCTGGGCTTCCTCCGAACAAGGGCAGGACCACCTACCTCACTGGGCCATGGTGCAGGGCCTGGCAGGCAGCAAGCGCTCAACCAAGAGGGGGCTGGCAGCCATTGCCACCCACCCCTAAGCAGCTGGTGCAGTCTGCAGGCAGGAGCCCCACAAGACACCTTGTTCGGGCTTCCTTCCTATCAACACCCCATCATCACCCTGTACATGCAGGCATGCCAGACAGGTGCCTGCTGTGGTCAGCTGCGGAGGGCTCTGCCCCTACTCAGTTGGCCAGGTGCACAGCTGAGCCCGGAGGCTCTCCAGACCAAAGCACACCAGGAAACCAACAGAGCCAGACCAGAGGGTGACCCGCACCTCGCAGGCAGCCACACTTCACCAGTTCACCCCAAGTGCCAAGGGGACCGGCTGGAGCGCGTAGAAGAGGGCAGGTAAGCCAGGAAAACCCCCAGCAGCAAGGCCCCCGCTGCTCTCACGGCCCACCGTGGGACCCTCCCAGCAAAGAGCCACAGGGACAGACGGCGCAGCCTTGACCACCTCCGATCCACTCGGGTCGCCGTCTTCTTGCAAATCGATAACCCACGTCAGTGCCAAAGGTTCAGCGACAGCCCCACATAGCCGTGGGTTGCTGCCGCCTCCCTGGAGAAACACCGCCTGGGGGGCCCTGGCCCCAGCTCTTACATCACCAGGGCAGGGGAAGGGATGCTCACGCCACGAGCCCCCAGCAGCCCATCTAACAGGGCAGCCCGCTTGGGGCTGGCTTTCAGAATGGGGCTCCATTCCCCAGCAAGCTGCTCTCCCAAGGAGGGAAGCAAGAAGCAAACGCCACATGCAATTCCGGCCTCTTCTCGCAGCGCCCCTGAGCATGCCTGGGCTGCAGGAACTGGTCCGAGCTCCCAGACGCGAGGCAAAGCACACCCACCAGGCACGTTGGCCAATGTCTCCAATGTAGTCCCCACCGCCTAGCCCCCACCCCCCGAGCCCTGGGGTTAACTGTGTTTCCGCTGCCGCCCAGGCCCCTGCACAGCTAGCAGCAGCCTTTGGAGCAGCGGCTCTTCACCCGGGGGTCTGTAGAGCGATCCCAGATCATGGGCTCTCAGAAATCACACAGGAACTTGACCATAATGTAGACATTCCCAGGGTTAAGGACTCATCACTGTCATATTCTCAAAACTCTTAATGACCCGAAAATGGCTAAGAACCAAGTTTTAGGGAAAGGTCAACAAGGCCATGGCTGACATCAGACAAAGAAGCAGGCTGCCCCTGAATCTACATGTGTGCAGTCCAGGGGGGCTGCCGGGTGGGGGCCATTATTGGCGTGTGAGCCTCCAGGGGGTTGCCCGCCCCTCTCCCAGGAGGCTCCGATTCCTGCCTGCCAGGGTGCCCTCTGGGGACAGAACCGTCTGGGAATGATCCATCGAGGGCTGCGACAGCCAGACTCTCCAGCAGTCCCCAGGCAGTGGGCAAGGCCCCGCGAGGACCCACCCCTTCCCTCCCAGCCCCCTCTGACCGGAGTACGTGGCCTGGCCAGTCAGACCTTTCGGCTCCAGGCTGCAGAGAACCAATCTGGGGGAGAACAGCCAGTGCCCAAAGGAAGGTCCTCAGCTGGAGAAGGAGGCTGGCGCACAGGCTGTGCCGTCCAAGGAGAGCAGAGTGAGACTGCTGGCTCAGGAGCAAAAGGGTTTCTTGGAGAGCTATCAGCAGAGAAGAACCTGCCTTTCGCTGCAGGAGAAACCCATGCAGGCGCCTCCTCAGTCACACTGCCTGGGGGGCTAGAGAAAGAGCCTGGGGCAGGGAGGGGGGGACAGAAAACCCTGCCCACCCTGGCAGATACGCCCTTCTGGCCTGGGGGCTCCTGAGGATCTCAGAGATGCTGGCGAGGGACGCCACAAGCAGCCCCAGATGCAGCCTGTCAGCCACTGCGGTGTCCTTACCACCCGGGGGGGGGGGGGGCATTTCTTTGGGGGGTTTGGGTGGCTTGCAAGTGACACGTACAGAAAAAATGTCAATTCCTACTCTTCCTATTCTGCAGAGTCCCAAATAACTGTGGACAGCTGGGAGAGAAGCTACCAAGATCGCCAACAAGAATTTTTCTTCCTTTTACCCTCCACGTGGTTCAGGGAAGGACAGGCCCAGGAGGCCGGCGTGGGGAAGACCCCCCCAGAGCTGCACTCTGTGCTTGGACTCTACCCTCACACGTCTGGAGAGCTTAAGTCAGATAAATCTGGGGATGTCAGAAACCCACTGGCCTTATGGAAAGTGCCAGAAAGACCTTGCCTGGGTGATGCGGCTCTCCTCCAGTGTTGCTGATGAGGAAAGCTGTAAGACAGCCCGAGAGCCCAACCCATCCCACCTGGGGTGCTCCAAGCCCACAACACCCAACAAGTGAGTGAAGCAAGAGAAACACAAAGATGAGAAGTGGATAAACTTGTGGGGTCAGCGGCGGGAGGATAAGCAGGGAACCCAAGCTCCAGATGAGCCTGACCTCCAGGACACGGAGCCGCGGAGGCAGCTACAGGGGAAGAGGACTCACGCTCACGAGTTTCTCTGTACATCGGGACACTATCCGAAGAGCTCCGGCGGCCACTCCTTAACAGTTAAGAGAGAGGTCTCGGGAGGGCAGAGTGCCGCCTGCCCAACAGGATGCGACAAGATGACAAAACGTTTCTTCTTGGGGGGAATGCGCCTTCTCACCACATCGTCCCACCTGGCCCTTCCCCCAGATAAGCATTCTATGCTGACAGCTGCTCCCGAAGAAAGAGGCCAAGCCTGGACCAGCACAGGGAGGCGGCACCGAGCCCTGGCAGATGGGGCATCCCGGCCACACTCAGGAGGCCTAGGGGTTGGGCAGCCGTGGCTGTGGTGGAAATACTCTGTCCATGGCCCCCAACCTCGCGAGACTCTCAGCGTCCTGTCTGCGGGGTCCTAAGGCCCACTGACACAGTGGGAGCAGCGAGGATGGGGCAGGCTCTCTGGCCTTAAGAGGAAGAGGGTGAAGAACCTGCAGTCATGTGGCTGTTCGTGCAACCCAGCAGGGGCCAACCCTCCTAAGTGGCAGGGAGCGGCCAGGTAGAGCGAAGAGCTCTATAAGAGGAAGATGCCAAGGGAGCGAGTCTGGGAACGGAAGGTCCAGCTCTGCAGAGGGGGCGCCCTGAGCCCAGGACCCACCACTGGGCCCCAGTGCTCCCGTGTGACTGGGCCTTCCGCCTCACTAACCTTGGAGCCGTGGGACGGTTTGGTCTTCTTGGGGTCAGAGAAGGCAGAGAGTGGAATTGTGGGTAACATGGGGTAGTCGGGGCTGGGCCTGGACACCGTTTCTGCTCCTTCGGGCATTACCATCACCTAGTGATAAAGAAGAGACAGATGTTATCAGTGAGCAAGGAGGCAGGCTGGATTTCTGACCGGCAAGAGGAAGTCAGCCTGCAGGAGTATGGCCAGAGGCTGTGGGAGCTGCCTTCTGGGGGAGGGGCAAGGGAGGACTGGAGCGCCAGTTTTCCAAAAGAATCAAAGGCATGTCCTCCATGAGAGGCTGGGGGCCAAGTGCTTGGCGCGAAGCGGGCTCGAGGTGGAGAGTGAAGAGAAGCCAGGGTCCCAGGATGGCTGGGCCCAGGTGCGGCCACACGGTCTCTGGAAGGAGAGCCCAGAGCGCGGCGGACAGGAGGGCCAGGCCAGGAAGACTTGCGGAGTGTGCCGAGAAGCACGAGAAGGCAGCTGTGGCCCAAGCTGACCTGCACGCTGCAGTTTAGAAGGACCAGACGCACGGTTTGGAAAGGCGAGAGGCCAGCCAGACACCCACACTGGGCAGCCGCGCGGCGGAGCGAGCAACTTCTGACGGCCATGCGCATGGGGGGGCTTTGCCGGGTCCCGCATTTCCGGGGACGGGGGCCCGAGCCCTCCTCCGCGGTCGAGCAGGCGAAGGTGACTGAATCGGCAGCATGGGGGGCAGAGGCAGGAGAGAAGTGCACAGGGTGGGTGCAGCACGAGCCTGCAGGGGGGGCCAGAGAGTGCCCCGCTCGGTTAGCCAACTGCTGTGCGGAGGAAGGGCCTGGGGTCCTGCCAGGAGGTGCTCCCGGGAAACACCTGCCGGGTCCAGCGTGGCTCCCCAGCTCCCGCTGCACCTGCTGAAGGAGAGAAGGCTTGGGGGCAAGTCGTCCAGATGCTGACACTACAAGTTCACACGACTTGTGTGAACCAGCCAGCCACTCAGAGAGAGCCTTCCAGATAAAGACGAGACAGAACAAAAGAATAAAGTGCACATTAAAAAAAAAGAAAGAAAGGAAAGAAAGGAAAAAAAAGAAAAGAAAGAAAGAAAGAAAGAAAAAAGAAATAAGAAAGAAAGAAAGAAAGAAACAAAGAAAGAAAGAAAGAAAGAAAGAAAGAAAAAGAAAAAGAAAAGAAAAAAAGCATTTAGCTCAGTAGAACAAGCATCATTAATAACCTTGAGCACCTGGGATTCCTTGATAAGCCAAACCTTTCCTCCGAGTAGGCTGGCGTCAGGGTACACCGGGTTGAAAGTAACACAGTGAAGCCCCTCGTGCCCCGCCCCCGTGGCCCCCCGACTCCGAGGCAGCGAAGCCAGAGGCCCCAGGCGTTTCCCAGAGCCCGTCCAAGCACAACACTCTGACCCGTGGCACCCGAGGCCCAGCTGAGCAGCCCAGGCCTCAGGCAGAGCACCGCACTCCCAGGCTCGCAAGCACTCGTGGGACACAGAGAAGCGACTACAACCCGACCCAAGGGCACAGACAGGTTCCAACGCTCTTTCACTCGCTTTTCCTTCCACTCAGCCTTCAGGACTCCTCTCTCCCTTCGAATTAATGTCCTAGCCTGACGTGGCTCCATAACACAGAGAAAACCTCTCCGGGCCCTCTCCCCTGTAACAACAGCCCTTTGAGAAAGGTCAAGTGAACCAACGGATCCACTTTTATCTCCGCCGCCGTGCCTCAAGAGGACCCACCACACCCAATGGAAATACAGACCCTCGGTTGCAAAAGGAGCTTCTGTTCCATGCAGCTCAACTGCCGATGGGGCAAAGGACGAGACACAACGCTGAGGAGACAGGCAGCCGCCTCCCCGAGGCTGGCCGCTGACCACCTAGCAAAGGAGCAAAGCTGATCTGGTCACTGCTGAGCAGGTGCCTGATGTTCGGGCGAGGACTCAGAGCTCCAGGTGACCGCCGGCGGAGGGGGCAGCAAGGAAGGCAGGTCTCATCGACCTACGGGTCAGGTCGTGACTCCAGTTCTTCCGGCACCGACATCAGCTCGGGCGGGTCTGCGGTCATCGGCCACAAGATGGCAAATGCCAGCCCCAGTGGGGACACTCCGCTCCAAAATGGCACACAAGGACCACAACTCACGTGTTGGGAGCTACTATCTATCCCATCAAGGTCTCAGGCTGCTCCAAAGACCAGAGAGCGCTGCTTTGCCATTAGCCCAGGGCAAGCCCCAAAGGCCCACAGCCCCAAAGGGTGAGAAAGGTCCTGACCAACCAGTCAGTTCTCCGGCCAGCCCTCCCCAGGGTGAGGAGCACCGAGCAGAGACCACCGTGCCGGACTCTGCCTCTTCCCTCCAGGATTGGCCCTTCCCAAACGGCTCGCCGGACCTGCACTCCCAACCTCTCCCCCTCGCTGCCTCCGCCCTCCAGTTTTATAGGTCTTGATGATGCACATCAAGCCTTCATCTCTTAGCAAAGAAAACCTCCTTATGCAGGGGGCAGAGGGGGGCAGTCCCTTGGTCCTGGAGCTCTGAGAGGCCAAGAATGCTAAGTGCACATGTGTCTCCCGAAGAAAATGTTGACTATGGAGCCTTTGGGTAACAAATACTTCGGAAAATATCCGGCAGCAGAAAGAAGGTGGAGAAGCAGAGCTGGGGAGGACTGTGGACCCCAGCAGCCCCCCCACCCCACTTCCTTGGCTCTTCCAGACCTCTCAGGCAAACTTCAGGACAAATGTCTCTGTGAACAGATTCCAACACCTCCCTGTTTGTTCCCGTCAGCCATCACATGCTAGATTATAATCACAGACACATTTTTTATAAGAAACCTGGCAGAACATAATCAAATTTTCTACAATGAATAAGTGACTGCCTTTATTAAAAAAGAAAAAAAAAGTACAAAAGATCCAACTGAATCAGAAAGGACTGCTCTGCAGGCCTACAGAAGCTCAAGCCAAACTCCCTATGTTCACTGGGGAGGTGGGCCTGCCCTGCCACACGCACTCACACTCGCGGCCCTGACCCAAATCTTCCTGGCTGGCCACTAGACAAACGCTCAGTGACACTGGGGCACTGAAAGGTGGCTGTGGGACGTCCCATGTCCCCGGCGTGGCCCTCCCTCGGCCAGGCACCCCTCCTCCTCCACAACAAGCATCCCATCCACACCAAGCGCCCCTACTCCGGTTCTCAACTGTGCTCCCCGCACTCTGCCACCACACACGGATCCCCAGCTACACGGCTCCCTCCGAGGCCTGGGTTCTGAGAGCTGACGCCTTTGTCTGGCCTCACTAGGACAAAACTGCCAGGCAACGCGCATCATCAGGGAACCCCCCGGAGAGCCACTGCTGTTTCCCCAGATGACGCTGCCCCAGCACAGCCTTGCCAGTCCGGTTCAGCGCTGGCTCCTGCGCCTCACCACGCTGACAGACTGGCCTCGCGCCCGTTCCTCCCACCCCTCCTTCCCGTGGAGGAAGATGCTAATTACCCACAGTCAACCAGGAAACTCTGGGGATAACTAGGCACTAGTCGTTCCAGCTGACAACGCCCCGGCGCAGACTCGGGACACCTGGATCCTACACAGGGCGGCCAGGTGCTGCCTGAGCAGGCCGCCCCTCCGGGTCTCGGGCACCCAGCCAAAGCTGACGAGACCTGCCCGGGAGACCCCCTGGGCACCGCAAGCACCGAGGCCGCTCAACACAAGAAGCCACGCAGGAGCCACGAGGGAGCGGCTGGCACCTCCCCAGCATCCGTACGAGCAGGGGCACACTCACCCCGCCAGCCATCAGGAGCTTGTACCGGAACTCAATGGTGGGGTTGTTGAAGGTGAGCTTCTCACAGCGCAGGTGGTTCACAGGCGGGTTGCCCTCCAGGTTCAGGAACAGGTCATAGGTGAAGCATACCTTCCTGGGCTCCTCCTTCAACAAAGAAAACAAGGAAGTTCACCTCAGAAGGGCAGGCAGCCACAAGACACGCTCCCCACCACCGGCCCCTTCTCTCTCCTGTGCTGGGCCTCCGTTTCTCTCCCCCTCAGTCCCTTACCTGCTTCTCTTGTGTGCCTCCTTCTCGTCTATTCCATTATCCAAAATAAATTAACTTACTACTTGCATTGGACCCAGCAAAGCAGTCTCCACGAGAGAAACAGATCATTAAGAATGATGTTCTCTGACAGTTACTGGACCTATTCCTGCTGATGGCACCCCCCCCCCCATTTCGGCCCTCACAGCACCCGTCAACAAACGGAGAGACTGAGGCTTGAAGACATGGTTGATGAGTGGCAGTACGGAGGTCTGACCCCAGGCCCCGAGGCCCGTGATTCCTCAGTCTGCACCCCATGTTCCCCTGGAAGGGGGAGACAGCTCCAGAGACATCCAAATGGCCAAAAAGCCCACTAGAAGGTGCTCAATATCACTAATGATCAAGGAAAAGCAAATCCAAACCCCGAGATAACACCTCCCAGCCTCCAGCACAGTGGTTCTTTACAAAGTGGGGAATCTCAAGTGGCAGTGAGGCTGTGGGGCAGTGGGTGTGTGCCCTGTCACCAGTGCCGTCAATCCCGGGGCTGTCTGGGGGCCCCTCCCCATGTTTACTACAGAGTAACCGCCCCATACATGCCTAATACACAGCCAAGAGAAATGAAAACTTATGTTCACACAAACGCTTGTACGTCTATGTAGCACAGCAGGATTCACAACAGTCAAAAGTGGACGCAACCCCAGTGTCCCGACGGATAAATGGATCAACGTAACATGTCCCTCCACGCGTAGGTGCGTCCCTCGGCTGCAGACGGGAGTGAGAGGCCGACACACGCTGCCCTGGGGATGGACCCTGAGCCCACGATGCTCAGGGAGGGAACCAGACACAGAAGGCCACACGGGGTGTGAGTCCACGTGGGTGACATGCCCAGAACAGGCTCTTCCACAGATGGGAAGAGGGCTCGGGGTTGTCAGGAACTGGGGCCTGGGGATGAGGAGCGACTGCTGATGGGGATGAGGTTGTTTTCTCGGGTGATGGAATGTTCTAGAATTAGAAAACTGTGATGGCCACACAACACTGAATATACTAAAAAACCACTGAATTAGTATGCTTTAAAAGGGAATTTTCTGGTATGTATATTACAGGCAATTTTTTAAAAATGCTCTCCAGTAGGGGAGAAAACTCTAGGAGTCGGGGTGCTGGTGAAGGAGCTCTCACTTCAGGACTGGACAGTCAGGGGTAAGGAAGGAAGGGGGAAGCACAGAGACTTCCACATAGGCATGCCCACACTCTCTTTTTCCCACCCTTCCTTCCACACAGACCAGCAGGGTCACAGTCCCGGGGGGAGAAGGGAGCAGAGGCTGGGGCTGAGCCTCATTCCTGCCGCTCTGACTATAGCCAGGGGCTCGGGCAGCCTCACCCTCCTCCTCCATCTCCCCAGCCAGCGGTAGCATGGTTCACATGAGCCATGCTGGGCTTGTTGAGCTCTGATGAGTGGGTGACACCTAGGAGAGGGAACCTGGCTGGCCCTGTGCCTGCTTCTGAATAAACGGACAGGAGTGGGGTCCCGCAGTTGCACGAGGACAACTCGCCACCCCACCCCCCCATTTAGGCCACAGGTAGAAGATGCACCTGTTGAATGAAAGAGTCGCAGACTCTGCCTTCTGGGAGCCTCAAGTCCAGTGCAGAGAAGACAAGTAAAGAGGCCTTCCCAAGGCAATGCCAACCAGTGAGGTAACACTGGCCTCGCCCTCCCCCCAGCAGCCCTTGGGGTCAAAAGAGTGGTTTCCACCCCCAGCCCATCTAAAGCAGACTTGGAAATTGTTCCCTGGCCCAAGGTGGACACGTGGCCTGGTCTGAGTGATGAGGTGTAATGAGGTCAGCCTAGGGAGCGCTTGCCTTCCCAAGTCAAACACTAAGTGTAAAGAGAAAGGCTCAGCATCATTATTCGTCTTGCCTAGTTGGAAGGTCAGCAATCCTGGGAAGAGCATGGAGGAGAGCCATGTGGATCTCTATTCCAGGCCATCAGCCAGCTACTTTCCAACTGCTTGTTAAGGAAGAGAAAGAAGCCCCCATGTCAAGCTTCTACTACACCCCCAAATGCGGCTGATGCCTCTCCTCTGGGCCTGCATGGCTTCGTGCCAACCTCATGGAGGCACTTGTCACAGCGGGAATGTGTCCCCACCAAACTGGGAACCCCTTGGAGGCAAGGGCTGTGGGGACCCCTGTCCTGCACTCAAGACATTTTTGTCAAAAGAATGAAATGTTAAGATGGGCAAGAGCGGAGCATGACCCAATAGTGGGGGTGGAGAGGGGGCCAGGAAGGTTCCCTGGAGGCTGTGCCAGGCTCAGAGAGGGGCCATGAGTCAATCAAGAAGGGGGTGGGGAGAAGCTGCCGAGGCCACAGCAGAGTCCTTTCTAGAGCCCCGAGAGTCCATATGACTACATCTGGAACGGGAGGGGGGACAGTGGTGGCAACAGGTGACCTGGAGCGATGGGCCTTAGCCACATCCTGGGGGCAGAGGTGTCTACAGGGGGATCTGGGCTCAGAAAGAACAAGCCCAGATCTGTGTCCCAGGAAGCAAACCTCCTCGGGCCTGCAGGATGCCACTATGGGGGGCAGGGTTTGGACCTGGCAAATAAAGGGAGCAAAAAAAAAAAAAAGAAAAAAAAAATCCACACCAAGAATTTGTCCTGCCTTCCCACGAGGTAAACACAGAAGATCTGAGAGGCAGACAGCAGGAATGTACTCCAGCTAATGCGTGAAGAAGGAATGCGGGCACCACTGTTCTGTCCCTCCTAATGGGTCAGTGACCGGGGCACTGTCCATCCACTGCGGCCAACATCACAAACACAGGCCACCCACAAGGTCAATGTACCACCTTCCAGGGAGGACTTCAGTTCCAGATTTAAGTTCAAACTGACCGGGAATGTACAATCAGAGGATGGTGTATAGCAAACCCCAGGTACAAAAAGCAACAATAAGCTAGGTGATACCAAACTCTACAGGACAAATGACCCAGCTGCCTCAACAAGTAAATTGCAAAGAAAAGCAATGGTATAAGGAGATTCTTCCCTACTTTATGCCTTTTCACAGTAAAAGGAACTTGCAAGACAAACTCATGAATCACGTGTTGGTCTTATCTAGATCTGATTCAAACAAAAAAAACTTGAAACACTGACTAGATATTGAGGAATTATTAATTTGTAGGTGTGATGCTGATATTATTATTGTATGATTAAAAAGCAGTTCTCATCTTTTAGGAGACACATTCTGAAACAGGGACACACGACATCACGGTGTCAGGGCCACACGCGGAAAGTGCTGGACCCAGCGGGTGGCTACGGGGACCTGTTAAAGCACTCCTCCTACTTCTATAGATGTTTCGCTATTTCCCCAAAAATTATGTGAGTGGACTCAGTGCAACAGAGCCGCACACGTGAAGGAACCCAGCTAAGGGAGCATGTCAGGGAGGGGATGGTGGCCAGGGGACTCAGGGAACGCCAGCAGGATGTGGGCAGGCAGCTGGACATCCCCGACAGCCCCCCGTGAGCACGGGGTTAGACCAGGACGGGGCCTCACCTCTCACTGGCTGCCCGGCCTTGGTCATGAGGCCCGTCCTCCCTAAGCCTCGGTTTCTTCAACTACGAGCGGGAGTATTGGATGAGACAAGGCAGCTAATCGCCTCAGCTTGGTGCCGTCGAGAAAGGGAAGCTACCGCTTTTACCAGAAAGAGCTCTAGGCTGTAGGAGGTCACCTGGGAGACCCAGCAGACAGATGGTGACTGAAGCTGCAGGATTCGCCAGCAGGAAAATGGGAGCTCACAGGGACGCCGAAAAGCCGCTCTGCAGTTCTATCTACCACACACGGGGGTGGAGGGAAGCGGAAGGCCCGGTGCCAAGCCCGGAATGCCCAGCATTCACCGGCACTTTCCATGGCCAGGCACTTTTCTAAACACTTAACACATACGACTGCTTCACAGCCCGAAACACGGGTGCTCCCTGCGGCCCCACTTCCCGGATGAAGAAACTGGAACAGGCAGGCGAGCTGCCTGGGGCCACACGGGCGGTGCGCAGAGAGCCGGGACTCACTCTGGGCAGGCTGCGTTAAGCCCTGGTCCCTGAAGCAAAGTGGGAGGAGTGCTTTAGGGCTCCCCAGAGCTGGGCATGCAGCATGTGAGCCGGGCGGAGGCCTTCCCCTGAGTGCCCACCGTGTGTCTGGCCCTGGTGACCTGGGATGAGACCTCTGGCCTGTGACGCCCCCTGCCTGGCAACGCTTCCAAGAGCCAGCAACGTGTTCAGTGAGGAGCAGCCAAGTTCAGGGTGTGCTGGGCCCACAGTCCCAAGAGCAACATCCTTGTCATTCCAGCCAGACCCTGCAGGTGCCCCACTCTCAGCAAAGGCAGCCGGAGCCGGCCTCAAACGTTCTGAGCATGGCTTGCAGGCGGCCACCCAACCGTCCAGGATACTGGCCACAGGCCAGCGTCTCTCTCTAGACTCAGCAAACTAAGATGCAGAGGAACTGGCCAAACTGGTGCCAGCGCCCAAACCTGGAGCGCGTGGACTCGTCCACAGCGTTCGGGCAGTCCAGGCCATGGGAGCCCCGGCCAAGGCCCACGGCTGGCACGGGCCCGTGCCAAGGCCAATGGCCCACAGCCGTGGGGCTGGCTGACCAGACCTGTGGTTTCCGCTGCTGCCCCTTGGCCACCCCGGGCCCCATCCTCTTCTGCAGCCGGCAGGGCTGGCCCTGGAGGACCCCCAGGTTCTCAGCCCTACCCCTGTGTGCAGCCAGACTCCCGGTGGCCCAGAACGCACCAGCTGAGGAGGGCCTCGGGGCTGTGTCCTTGCTATCTGGGCCCTGCCCACACTTCTCTTTCGGTGCCTGTCTGCCATACCCCTGTTAGAAGGCCCCAGGGTTCATAAAATAGTGAAACATGAATCT